TTTGCAACTTGTAACGTATTAACCTTCGTGTCGGCCTCATGGGACCGGTGTCTCCTCATAGTCATTTGTACTTACGTACGAGTGTAATGCATGCAGCTCTAAAAATGCGTGGCTGCCCGGACCGGCCAAGTGAGAAACGAGCCTCGTGAAATGGAGTAAAGCGCGTGGACGGCGGAAAGCGGCGAGTGTCGGGCCGAGGAGGACAGCGCTTCGCCGGAGGCCGGGCCGCCGCGGGCCGGATGTGGCCCGCGGGCCGCTAATTAAATAACCCTGGCGTGGGCGCGTACGTCGCTCGCGTATACGTCCAGGCGAGGCAGCGTTGCGTCTTTGTCTGAAGCGGGGCGGTGTTGCCGCCGCTGCCGCCCTGCAGATGTCGCCGTTGCGCCCTTGCGAGGCGGCGACTCGGGTGTTGCGTCGCGCGGAGCGGAGCAGAGCGCTGGCGCTGACGTCATGCGGATATAAATATCGCGAGGCAGCAGAACGTCCGACGGTCGAGGAGCGTACGCGCGTGCGAGGAGCGCGCCGGCAGCGGCGACGCTGCCGCCTCCACCTTCTCACCACCATCACCATCTCGGCCCTCGTTCGACTGGCGCGTCCCCACGTGGGCCCTCTTCCTGTACGGGCGACGGCTTCCGGAGCTAAAACTGGCCTCCGCGTTGCTTCTAATGTTTGAAGACTGAGGCACAGCGGTCTTTTGAGTTAATGGCACGTTGGCACTACTTAAAATGTTTTCTTTCATGCGCTTAACCCAATTGTTAGATGGAACGAATTTCGGACAAAACTAGATTCCCCCATGTGCCGTAAGAATTTAGTGAAAAGTATAGCTTTCGGTGATGCTAGACTAGTGGTTCGCAGTTGTATAAGTAAGTCCCGTTTCTGTTGAAACGTTTCATAGTAAAATGTTGGCCTCGTTGCTGCTATGAGCATTATGTTCCCAACGAGAGATGTGGCTAACCGCATGACTTCTGTGTGCTCTGCAATATCTTTTTTAAATATTTTTTTCTTTTACATTTCTTTTTTAAATAAAAAAATATATTTCAATTATATAACGTCGTTTTGTGAACATGTTGGACAGCCATAGTGAAAACAATGATCTTACGACATCACTAATGATTTCGTTCAGAATAAATGTTGATGAAGCCCTGTATCTCAACGTGTGAATGTATCGGTGCTGACAGTTTTATAATTTAATTGAATCTAGTCACAGAATTTACAAAACCGTTAATATTCTAAATCAGGATTGTTCACACTTCCATGGTGCTGCTCTACAGCTTCTGCATTGCCGTTCCGAACCATCAGGAATCTGATCATACCGAGGACCGACCGAATCTATCTGGGTCAACTTTGCTATTCACTAGATGTAAAATTACATTTTCCCCAAAAAGTATGCTTGTAATGAAGAAACTATTTTTTTACTCTATTGCCTTGAATACAAATTAATGATAGAGAAAACATCCGAAAATAGTGTAATTAATTAAAATCGACCAACAAGTTTGTTTTCTGGTTTCGTTGAAAAATGGACCACACCCAAATGCATTGTAATTGTTTGTATTTAAAAAAGTGGAATGTCGTGGGTTTGCTTAGACACTCCCACCCCCCGCTCTGATTTCTGTGTAACTGATTTTTTTGGTGGTTTAAAAAAAATATTTAGCTTATTGAAAAAATATTTTTCCTTGATAATTTTCCTGATTAGGGAATGATTGGTCAGATATATGAGAAGTATGTGTCGAATAGTTTAACATTACATGCATGTTGAAATCAAAGAAATTACGTCAGTTATTATACAACATTCACATAAATTGCGAAAACACATGAATGAGAGAGCAACAAATTAGCTGGTTTTCAAGGAACTACTTTTTGCGCTAGAAAACATTTTAGGAAGGAAACTAGAAAAGGAAGGCAGTTGACGTTGCCATTTATAAGTATAGAAAATGTAAGTCAAGAAGCCAAATTCACAACACTTTAAATTATCAATCCAAATTTGTGCTAAATGGTGCAAACAGAAGAATTAAGCAGAGTTCAGAGATATCATTAGTAGCAGAGTGCATAGCAGAGTGCATTAGAATGATCTTAGAAGGAATAAACCTATTTTCGATGTTTGTATTGGATATTATTTTCTTTTGTTTAACTCGCTTTATGGCAAAACTTAATAAATTATTGTACGTAAATAGAGTGAATAATAAAGCCACAAATCATATTTTTTTTATAATTTTGTGATACACACAAAATATTTTTTTTAGATTTTGTTACGGTGGTGGATTCAAACCGGTTGTGTTTAGCTCAGGTCCGGCAATGCGGCTGCCTTTGAAGCAACTCTGAACGAGTGGTTCTAGGGTTCGAGCCGTGATAGAACCTTCATAGCTATGTCGAATTCAGTCGCCGTCTGGAGAATTCTAGCGGTCGGTTGCGAGTCGTCGATATTTTTCCAGCGCGCGATCTTTCCCCCCCTCTTCCTTGTATTAATGTTCCATATACACGCGGTACACTATCACATAGTATGTCGAGAGACCAGTTGGGTAGCTTAGAGCTTGTCCCGGCTGAGCGGTGCCCGGCTAGGAAGCGATACCTTATCGGGGTATCTCCAACAAGCTGGCGAACTAAGTTGCTGCCGGATCTCACCATCCAGCGGAAAAGTAATCAGCCACCTCCCGGGATAAAACATTCACTACCTACACTAATGACCACAGCAATTGATGTATCCTGAAACATAAATCAATCATCGTGGACTCAAAGTCTCCGTAGACATACCAAGGACAAATATTTTACGCCTTGTACGCCTTGAAGGGAACATCAGAACATAATCTAGAACAGGTGCGGATCCACAGGGGGGAAATGAGGGAAATTTCTCCCCCAATTTTCTTCAGAAACTATAATTTTAACTTATCACGAAAGTTTGAAGCAAAATATTTTCGGATAATCGTTAAAATTAATAAAAGTTTATCGAAGCATGAGCTGAGTGTAGTCAACATTTTACAATATGTGATATATGGTCCGTTTGACCAAAACAGCTAATTCTTGAGAGGGCTAACAAGAAGAATATTATGTTGTTATCATTATTGTATATCAATTGTGTATCATTATTATTTGTTACGTTTTAATTTAAGTTAAAATCAGATAATTATGTTAATTATACGCATAATTATGTTAATTATATGCATAATTAACATGTACACGAGCGGGCGTTCGTGTGTGTGATTTCTGTAATACCAGATGATGTCAATATTGAGAATAAAAGTTCTTTATCTTCCTGATTCTTGAGAAACGACTTTGTCTTCGACTTCAAATGACGCTAGCAGTTTGTGTTGGTAGCTTTGTCAATAAAAGATGCCAAAGATACACTTAATTATCACTGATCCTTATATTTAGACCAAGAATGTCTTTAATGTTGCAATCATTTGACAAATGTTCATATTGAATTCACGAGATGTGATATCGCGCATTCATCCAATAGGTACTCCAATGAGTGCGTAAAAGCCAATGCCCAGCTTCACGTTTTGTCAAAATGTGTGGGAAGTGCCTGAAAGCCTGTTGTGTTTGCGTACGAGCGTACGTAATGCCGTGCGCGTAAAAGAGCTCCCAGTCGGCTTCTAGCTAGGCCGTCACCGTTGGCAAAGCGTAGCCGCGGCAGCCGGTCACCAAAACAGTCTTCCGCCGCACCCCGCCTCCTTCTCCCTCCCTCCCTCGCCGCCGCCGTCGCCGCCGCCGCCCATAAAGCGAGCGGCGGGTGGGCGGGCGAGGTGGCGGCTCAGCGGATTTTACCAATATCGCGCGGCGGCGGCGGCGGCAGCTTGCTACACGCCCGTGCTCCCCTCGCCCCCCGCCCCTGCCCTGGTCCTGCCTCGCCCTCGCTCTCCGTCTCTTTCCTTGTCCTCGGGACCGAGCTTCAGATTAAAACACAGCAGGGGTGGGTGCCGGGCTTTTCTCTGACCTGCGGGGCCCCTACCTCAGGACGCGTATGACACAATTCTGGAGCTGCTCTTATCTGTATTGAGGTTTTTCGGAATTAATCAAATAGTCTCCGCGCGCCATTGTTTGAATTTTCTCACTTGCAGCTATACTGGCAAATCCGAAGAGATCTATTTGAATTTACGAAGCCTTTATATTGAGCACTCCTACGTTGTTGTTTTTCTTTCGTTCTTTACTTTGATATGAAGTGCGGCAAAAAGATATATTGTTGCTATGTAGACGCGATTTAAAGCTGAAAAATGAGTATTTACAATGGTCACCATGCCATTATTTATATACTTTGTTGAGTTAATTTGGGAATGTGGACGGACAGTTTATCTTAAGGCATGCAAACATGTCAGCACCATGTGTGTTTATTTTAGATTTATCATCGTTATAGTTATTATTATTTAAGAATGAGTTCAAAGCGTGTAATTTAATACTGTATTACAGGATTTTGAGTTAAATAATGAGAGAAAAATCAGACTATTAACATTGCCTGGCATGCTTTGTGATTCGAAGTGTTCTGAGTGCTCTGTAGAGATATGACGATGACATCCGAGGTGGCTGCTATCGTTGTGTATGCGCATCTGTTACTTCTCTTCTGCTTGTGGCCGATAATTCTATTTCTAGCGGTTCTGTCTAGATGGAGGAATAAATTCAGAGTTTTAGATGCTACTCGTAAAATTGACAAGCGTATTTGTTTGTTTTGTAGTTGTACGATTCCCTTTCCTCTAATACGAGTTGTTAGGGTTATTTCCACTTGGCTGTTTTGTGAAAGTCCGGTGAGCATTGCGCAGTCCAGGCCGTTGATGCGGCCGCCGCATTTTAAATTCGGGGATGCGGGCGTGGGGCGTCTTGCATGCTTTCCGGCCCAGCCCCCTCGCTGCGCACACGCGGCATGAGCGCAGGCGCTCCTTACGCCAAGTGACTAGGGGGAGGGCGGAGACCGGGGATGGCTGCATCCCTCCCCCGCCTCTCTTCGCCCAGTGCCCTGCCTCTGCAGCACCCGCCGCCTCTCTCGATCGACCGCTCAAAGGAGGCAGTAAAGTTTTATGTCCCTTCGCCGCCACCGCCGCGTTGGTAGCCGCTGCTGTCTCGTCTTCCGCATCCCCCGCCCCGCCGCATCTCCTACGCCCACACCTACGCCCTCCCTCGCCGCGCGCGTCGTCGGAGCGGGGCACGGCCACGGGCACGATGGGCGACGCATTTGTTCCCTGCGCCTGCTCCCTCGCCTCCGGGTTTAACGCAGCGATTGGCGCACAGATTCTGCAACGCGATACTTACGCCGCCCTCTTTGCACTTTTCGGCCTTTTTAATACGTTTTAACGCACTTTCGCTTTGATACATTAATGAATGATTGTCACGTTTTCAACTGGCTTTAAACTCCGGGTTTCTTGATGTTTCCATTTCGTTTTTTTTTATGACACAGATGTAGTAGATTGAAACATCTCCAACGCTTTTATCGAGTTTAGAAAGAACGGCACTGGAATTTGTTTTCCGTTATTGCAGGTGCGTTTCGTGAGATGAAACAATTCCATATGGCTCATCAAATTTTTCTCACTTGAATGTTGCGATTTTTACGAGCAATATAATTGACATTCCTTATTTTGGTTGCTTTTAATCATATATATATATATATATATATATATATATATATATAAAAGTTTTTTTTTGTATACCAGTATTATAAACGATCTCTTATGACACCGAAAATTGTACATAATTAGGACGGTTATGAAACTAGTAGAATAAAATAACACAAGTCATCAAACAATTGCCTACAATACGGCGTTTTTGTTTACTAATAACAAACAAAACTAGAACGGTAATATAAAGGATCACGATCACTTCATTACAGGAATTAACAGAACTTAAACTAAAATGGTAATGAAACGTACAATTGGAAAAATCCTGAAAGACTTCAGTGAAATAAAGGACTTCCAGAAATCGTTGTTTAATTTCAAATGACAGATTTCTGTGTCCGGCGTCTCTCCACCATGGTATTACAATTCTCGTGGCGATTCAAATCTAATATCCTACAGATTCCTAGTGCTCTACTGCACTAGTTGAACACCAACCTCCATGGCATTGAAGAGAATTTCCGTGGGTAATGAATCAGTTTCCACGCGATCACGAATGTGAACAAGGAATAACTAACAATTGGCTATGAATAATAACGTATCCAACATGCCAAATTACTCAAGCCTTGTTACTGTCTCAGTAATCATTTATCCCTCCCAATAATTTTATACAAAATTATAGCGTATACAACTCATTTATAATATTGCTTTGTTGCATTCGTACAGATTTCAAAACTCTCGTCTAACGTCGCTTGTTACGTATACTTTTCCAATATCGCATAACGTTATAAACTAGTTGCATAATACCCTATTATGTTTTACCGAAGAAAATCTATTAGTAGTTTTCTGTTGAGTTTCATACTAGTAACCAAAGTCTTTTGCTGAATGCACGACTGTATTTTTATGAGTCTTTATGACATGGCCGTAGCATGGTTTCTTCATGACATGGTTTCTTTTGTCTTCGACCGGACGGTGGATTAAGGAAATTCCCGCATCCAAGAAATCTAGAGTTTGGGTTTTACTTTCCAATGAATCTAATATTCGTGTATTTTCGTAGCAATTTTTTATTTATTTAATTGTGAATTTAGAATTTAGTGGTACTTTGTTTATGATTTAATTTCTCAGACTTTTCTTATGTTTCTCTGTTTATTGTTTCAGTATGGCTCGGATGAATTTGGACAAGAGTCTCCTCGTTACGCCTCACCAAAGAGTGCTGCTGCTTCACTGTATGCAGAACCATATTATTTGCCGGGTAAGTTCTCACTTTTTCTACTTTGCAATGAATGGTGAATGAATGTCTGTGTCGTAGCTCAAGTCACTACAATTTTAATAGGGTTTCGAGATAAATACACAACATATTCACGTAATACACCTACCGTCCCCGTTTGAGACATACCTCTGATAGTATTGCATTGCCTTACGCTTCAATACAACATGTTCATTTTCTGAAGAAGAAAAAGAGGGAAACTCTGGGATATTGCTTGCCACGTCAAAATGTTTGCTGATGACGTGAGTCTGAATATCTGAGCAGAATGAAAACTTAATGTTGCATCTTCCACTTCCTCTAGTGACAGTTGTAGTGATGACTGTCATCGACATATACTTTTCCAATCAATGAAAACTCCCGTAAAGTCTGTAACCACAATTCTTTATTACAGAAATTAATGGATGATAGCAATACTTCCGTTAGGTAAAAACAATATACGGGTATACTGCTATATTATATGGTGCGGAATTACAAAATAAAGAATTTAACGAATTATTTGTAACAGCTAAAAATAATTTATTGCGCCAAATATTGTAAATCATTAATATTTATTTTTGAAGTATTTTTTAAAAAGTCTTGTGTAAATTTCGTATGATACTGTAAAAATGTCAACTGATTGCCCTTAGTATGGATTTCTCCTCACCATTACAACATTCAGATTCAAAAAGCAGTACTTTTCATTTATTGAATCGATAAACCTACTCCGGGACCATCACCTACCGCATATATTGAAGAAAACATTCGAAGGACTAGAACCGGCTGTAGAAACGCGTGTGCGTGGTACTATTGTTTTCAAAATACGCCTGCAAGAAGGGTAGCATAACGTATTCATTCATTAAGGTACATCGCCGCAATCAAAAGATTGATGACAAACGTTACCAATTGTTTTATTTGAATTTAGTGTTGCTTTGCCTATATTTTTGCGATTAATCAGACGAACAACAAAAAAGTACACGAGATTCGTATTCATATTTAATATTTAACAATTTATACGTTGGAATAATTCAGATGGGTTCCGAAACAGCTTAAAAGGTAGACGCATTAAGGTATTCCTGTTTTGCAATTGTTTTAATTTAACTCTTAGTAATATTAAACTATTAAATAACTTACTAGTTTTTAATTAAATTTAATACAAAATCAATGTGTAATGTATCGGCGTTGTTCGGGTCGGACCTCCTTCACTTGGATACGCACCTCTGAATTTATTCTTTCTAAAACTTCAAGGCTGTCGCCTTTGCAGGTGGTTGACTTGCGCTTTACGCGCTTCCATTGTCTCCGCGTGCACTGCTTCCAGACACCTGTCGCTACAAATACACAGGAGTCGCTGAATCATCATCTGTGATCTCGCCTTTAACGTTTATGCAAGTGCGAAAATGTAAACCCAGTATTTCTAATGACTTCAAAAATAACCCTATTGTCCCAGAAGCAAGTTACGAATTCCTACAGTTACGAATTTTCTTGTGGAATCGTCTGATTGTTTTGAGATTTATGTAAATATTCATAGGTGGAACTTTGCATTTTTACCGGTCTACACTTGCTTAATTAGCGTGCGCCCATAATATTGAAATATAAGTTGTTAATTTTATTTGCAAGTCCTCAATACTAAGATGTGAAATGCAAATTTAGGAAGTATCAGTTTCTCTTTCAGAAATTTCTAAAATAATCAATTAAAATCTAAGCTGGAATAGCTCGAACCTAAAAAAAAAAAAAGGAAGATTTCCAATTTATTAGAGGTACTATTTTTGACATTAGTACGAAAACATTTGTTACTTCATGATGGCTAGCCACACCCAGTGTACTGTGATTTTATTTATACCTTTTGCAATGCCTTGGGAAATGCCTTTCTGGCCAAGGAGTAATGGCTCTCGAGGTGCTGCAGAGAGGTGCGCTATAAAGCTACAAGATGCCCGGAGACTTTCCACGCTCTGAGAGGCTGAAGGGGGCAATTCCCCTACGCCTTGCGAAGTAAGCGTCTCTTAAAGATCGTTTCCTACACGGCACCTCTTCTCATCGCTGTGCACGTTACAGAAAGAACTTAAAACTGACTTCGAAATTCCATGTCTCACCACAGTCATTCAGCCAATTGAAGTACATACGCAGCAATTTCGTTTAATGTAGGATTTTTCTCTTGCGGGGCACGAAAAACTGTTTCGTTTCCGTTTTGGATTGGTTCCTATTTAGGCTGTGTAAAATGCCATTTAACATCAACGGCGGGAAAGTTTTTCCGAATAAAGCAAGTTTCCTACTTGTCCAGGGTCCGACTTGCTATTTTATCTTTATTTTTGTCGATTCATAATTGCAAGTTTTCTCTGTTTGAAGGAAAGTGCCTCTCACTAAGTATTTAATTTTCAAATACAATAATAGCCATCTTCACGTTGCCTTTGTAAAACGGAAACATGTACTATGGAAAATAAATCACTTAAGCAAAAGGCACACTTAAAGGTATCAGTCTGTTCATGATTTCCTCAGATTGAAAATGGAAATAATTTTACAACTTTCTTTAAAAAAATACTCCGGCCAAATTCCGTGATCTACATTTCCTATTTCTATTACATGGTCATGAATCTAAAATATTTTTTGCGAAGATCTTAATCACTCTATCCGTATCCTTTTCTACTATTTTAATGCGACCCTATGACGACGGCTAATGACGATTTTGCCATGAATATTTTTTTTTTTTTTTCAATTTTTCTGTACAGGAAATGGATGGAAAAGGGACGATTATTTCTGCGCGCTACTGTTTCGATATCGAAACTGCATGAACGTGAACGAGCGTTTTACACGGCCAGGAAATATTTTCTGCACCGAGTTGAGATGAAATTATATCCTCTGGACGGCGCAAAGAGTTCTAAAGATCAAACAGTTGAAATATCATCTATTTTAGCAAATTAAATTTGGTTATATTAGGTTTTAGTACGGAACGAGACGTTCAATTTCTCACTACATTATCACTCCACATTACAATTCAACAAATTAGAACGCTGCCGAAACTACAAACAGAAGAAATCGCACCACATGCATAGAAACCAGAGAAAGTTCCAAAAAGTGACCCTAGGAGCGCTGTAGTCAAACCGGATAAAATCTGTATCGAAAAATGAAGCATACGTAAGGTTTTCGTACAAATTACATCTAGTCTGGTCCGTCACTTTTCTGTACCGACGATAATAATGAAAAAAACTACCGTGTAAACAGGATTTTAGAAATGTTTAATGCTGATCAGCGTATTTTTTTTCGCTCATCGTAAGAAGAGAAAGTGAGATAATCGTTCGACGGGAAAGTGCGAATTTTCGGCAGCAAGAAACCTTATTGCCTTGCCCTGGTAGTGAAAAGGCGATAAATCCTGTTGTTATATATAGTAAATTACTTCCTCCAGCACCTATTGTACAGAATTATTATTTTATGGGTTCTTGATAACGAAAAATCGATTGGCGGCAAAATGTCTGTCTACTCGTCTGTGGTCAACTGGCAGAGATATGACGTTGCAGCTCCTCCTCCTC